GGGGGGGGGGGGGGGGGGGGGGGGGGGGGGGGGGGGGTGGTAAACCCTCCCAGACCAATCTCTTTAAAGGCTTAACCAATTATTTCACAGATAAAGAACGATAGAACAGATCTGATCCTTCTCTTCTACTTTTTATAAAAAGATTAATAGAAAGACATTTCATTTTAAATTATGGTGCAAGAAGAATTCGCCCATATTTTACATCTTTTTTTAATATTCATTTTCTCAGGGGGAGGCCACGGATGCCCACAGAACAGGTCAATGGGGGGGGGCGGGGGGGGGCAGTGACTCCCACAACCTAGCATTAAAAAACATACTCATTTAACACGACCAAAAAAAAAAACTTTTTTAGTTAATTCAGAGTCATGCAACTGTCAGATATTAAGATAGTGTAATCACGTGACCATGTGAGTCCTCAAGTTTTTTTGTGGTTGTTTTTTTAAATTATATTATTTCATATACATCCGATTGGGTGACTGACAGACAGACTTGCATCCGTTGCACACAAAAAAAAAAAAAACTGCATTTGCCCATGGTTTGGTGTTTACTATAGATCTCGGTGGAAGGTGAGGTGGTTGGGTACAGTAGAGATCTAATTTATCGACTAGAGTTTGGATTGACTGAATCCATCGCACGCCAATTTCCCCCGAAAAACAATCAAAACCCAAACATTTACAGAGCCGTTCTTAGGAGTTTGGGGGTCGTAAGCATGGAGCGTAGGTTGGGGGCCCCGGAAAGGGGGGGGGGGTAGTATCCGGGGATGGAGCTCCCTCGAGCTGAGGAGAAAACACCACCCACCACTGCGGCACCTCCATTCTGCCTTCATCAATGTTTCCTCTTTCCCATTCCCACGGCCAAGCCCCCGATTTCCTGTCTGCCCCCCCAACGCTCCCCCCCCCCGCTGCTTCCCTTCCCCTGCCTCCGAATTCAACTCAAAATGATCAATTTCAAGATGACGAAGGTAACGTGAGTGACCCAGACGGCAGCAGTGCCAAGCCAACCCCCCGATTTCCTGTCTCCCCCCCCAACGCTCCCCCCCCCCGCTGCTTCCCTTCCCCTGCCTCCGAATTCAACTCAAAATGATCAATTTCAAGATGACGAAGGTAACGTGAGTGACCCAGACGGCTGCAGTGCCAGTTTTAAAAAAAAACCGGGGGATCGAGGACGCCTCACGGGGGCCCCTTCACGCTCGGGGATGCGTAGTCAGCGTATGCCTAAGAACGGGCCTGACATTTAGGGCTCATTTTATTATGCACCCAGCTCCTAGTTTGATCTTGATCCGCCACCGACATCTTTGCCTGAAACCTTGAGTTGGTATCAACCCGAAGTTTTATCTCTGTTGAAGTGATAGCTACTACTGACACAGTCGAGTAGTCAGATCTTGGGGTTATTGCTTGTCATGCTTTGGCAGGATTCGGTGACGTCTTCAAATCTGCTGCATGAATTGAAGACGTCAAAAGTCTTTGGTAGGAGTCGAAGACGTAGGTCGGGAATCGAATACGTCATCAGGTCTGGGTTAGGAGCAGAAGACGTCCCTAGGTAATGGGGTCGGAGCAGATAACGGCATTAAGTTTGGGGCAGGAGTTGAAGACGTCATTTAGGTTAGGAATCAAGTCATCATTAAGTCTGTCTTGCATAAAACTATCTGGTTGGGACATATTCAATAGACCATATCACGTTGTTGTTTTTAATCACCGGTTTCAACTTTTTTGAATGACAAGATATCATGAGACTTCAGGTCACAGTTTTAATCTCAACGACCCCAGATAACTGCCGTTACCTCTTGCTACTTTGACACTTCAGTGCAAGTTATCGCTTTAAAAATGTAACATTATCTGGTCATATCATTTCGCCTGCTTCTTCGTGTTCTTTTTAGACATTAACCCCTAAGGGGTCCTCGCGTTGTAGGGTTGTACATGGAACATTTCGATTGGTCGAACTGGTTAAAGCAAAACGCTGACTTTTACAGTATGTAATTGTTTGGACCCATCTTGATTTAGTTCATTTGACAAGGACAATAACTACAAAAGCAAATTAGTTTTTGTTTAGATACAACAAAACTCCGTGGCTTAGAGAGTTTGAACGCTGAGCTTTTAGTCTCATAGCCATTCACCTTGTTATTTTAGCGTGATTTGATTCGGGAATTAGCACTGGGCTGATCCATAGCGTATGTGTTCGAAATAATGTATTGGTTAAAGTCGGGGGTTTCTCAAACTGGGGTCCCAGCGCCCCCCGTGAGGGTTTCGGAAGGCAGTATCACGGGCTACAGGACGATCCTGAATATCATGTTTCTTTGCGTTTATTGTAGAGTTTTTAATCGTATGGGTGCGGGCGATAGTTTGAACTCCAAAGGGGGGCTGTGCTACATGCAAAAAGGTTAAGGACCCCTATCCAGGCCGTATGGGTCGAGCATAGATATTTACTGGTAACATTTTAGGACTGAGTATTGTGCTGTATTGTGCGCGGTGCGTCTTGTGTGTATGTTTAGTTAATGAACGCTTTTTTCGTGTCGTTACGCTTGTGACGTAACGTGACGTCATTTTATGGTAGCTGTGACGTAGTCTCCATAATCTGTCTTTTGTGTACCGTACACGATATTCATTTGGCAGTTGGTGTGGCAGCATTGTGGGAGAATGTTGTTCTATAATCGTTGTACATGTGTTTGATTCATTGTGCAGCCTGGTAGATGTTTCTGGATTAAAGTTTACAATGCTATCGGAGAAAGGGACTTGTGCTCAGTTTGGTGTGATGACGACGTACGCACGCGTGAAGTGTGAAGGAAAAGTAGGACTCCAAATCATTACGGATTGCGGCCATATGACCAAAGGCAAATGGTCTAAAATTTTCAAAAGTGTATGTCCATTAAAATTAAACATACCCACTAATGTAATTCTAATTATAACTCAAAAACGACATACAACATTATCAGCACAAAAGACAAAAAAAAATAAACAGAAGACATTTCAGAAGTACAAAAATCAACACTCTTCTTTAACAATGATTGTGCAAAAGTTTATTTATTCCTATTATTTTTTTAAGTCGAAAAGTCCCTCAATCATTGCATTACATCAAATTGTATCATTTTATTATCATCTTATCTTAATATATATTTTTTTTAAAAAGGATAAGTTTACATAAAGTATGCTATTGTCATAACATAATTCATTTAGTTACCAGTTACCAATACGGCCGACTAAGCTCGCCTGTTTGTGCACCTGTAGTTCTGTATAGGACCCCGTCAATGCTGCATAGCTCTATACTAACTGCATTGTACATACCGGTACATAAATATAAATGCGCTATCAGAAAACATTTAATTTGTATTTTCGGCGGATTTATTTTTTTATTTCCGTTGCACGAAATTCTATTTGATAAATTAAGTAAAATAGAAAAATACGTTAATATTTAATTATGTTATGGGATCGTACTACATTTTTTGGGGCGAAATACTCTCAACACTTCATGTGCGATTTCTACACAATGCGTTTCCATTCTCTAAAGTAATGGGAATTCGATTTTTTAATTTTTAAGTTGTTACCGATCACGAGCTTAAAGGGTATTACTCAAACAGAGTTTCTCAAAGATGGTTCGACTCCCAGCTACACTTAGAACCACTTGGAAGAGGTGGGGGCCAGTACTACTGAGCGGGCTATTCTAATGTTCCCGTCCTGCTTGAGATCTAACACTTCCCAATAGCCCGTAAACATCCCCCCCCCCCTTTACAACAGTTACTTCTTTCTTCTATCTGGTTATTTCATCTTGTATGAAAGTCGTGGCAGTCTCTACAACAGTCGTTTACGCACTCCATATCTCCGCCAGAGTAGACCGACTCCCAGGCCAGCTACACATATCAGGCCAGTCTTCAAGTTAAACCATCTGGCGAAAAATTCCAAAAACCCAAATGGTGGCTTATCCTTTTTCGCCACTGGAATTTCATCCCCACTAGGCGGCTCCCCTCTATGCGGCGCCCCTCTATGCGGCTCCCCTCTAGGCGGCTCCCCTCTAGGCGTCAGGGAAGCCTTTCTCTTCAATGTCTGTATTCTAAAGAGCGTTATTCTAGCTATATCCATAACTGAGTTTAACACACCCGTGCCATTGTCCTTGACATTCAGCTCATTCAGATGACTCTTGACGCTAGTTTCTTCACGCTCCACGTCACGGACGTCCAGCTCAGAGGACGCATCAAGCTTATCCAAGTTGTCGTTAACTCCTTTCAAGAACTTTTCAGTTTCTTTTTCGATTTGCTCTCTCTGGGCGATGAGAACAAGCAGCTTGCGCCCGGGTTCTGCTGCTGTATAATCCTCTTTCTCGTATGTGCCTTTAATGCTATCTATGATCTCCAACAGCCGGTCCCTCTGTTGGGCCCTCTCTTCAGATTTTTCCTTGGCTCGGTTGTTAAACAGAAGAAGCCTCCAGGCGCAGTCCTCAAACACCTGCTGGATGTCCCCCGATTGTTCCCCGCACCATTTTTCAAACGTCATGTCATCTTCATCCTCTGTGTCCATTTCAAAGTTGTCGCCGTGTGTCATCAGAACAACACCAGATTTTTGTAGGCAGTTCCTCCCAAAGATGGACTGGATCCTTTGTACACCCTCTTTCTCTTGCTTGGTGAACCTGACGCCATATTTAAGCACCACGACTATCGCATCGACCCTGAAGCCACACAGTTTAAGCCCTTCCTCGACAAGTTTCAGATTCGACTCTATGCTTCCAGCCATGTCTGCTCCGGTATCGCCGATCCCTGGCCCTTCGAGGACGCTCACTTCCACACCGGGCTGAAGTGTGGCAGACTCCAGGGTGAAGACAACCAGGTTTGAGCTGTCTCGTACTTCAGCGACCTTCCTGTCGAGGATGGAGTTTCTGGTGGAGCTTTTCCCATTGCCCGTCCTTCCCACCAGAAGGATGTTGTATCTGCGTACTTTGTCCATTGTAAAACAACCTGGAGAGTCTGGGGAAGATATATACGTCCAGGTTAGCCAGTGTATCACTCACTTAAGGTTAGCCAGTGTATCACTCACTTAAGGTTAGCCAGTGTATCACTCACTTAAGGTTAGCCAGTGTATCACTCACTTAAGGTTAGCCAGTGTATCACTCACTTAAGGTTAGCCAGTGTATCACTCACTTAAGGTTAGCCAGTGTATCACTCACTTAAGGTTAGCCAGTGTATCACTCACTTAAGGTTAGCCAGTGTATCACTCACTTAAGGTTAGCCAGTGTATCACTCACTTAAGGTTAGCCAGTGTATCACTCACTTAAGGTTAGCCAGTGTATCACTCACTTAAGGTTAGCCAGTGTATCACTCACTTAAGGTTAGCCAGTGTATCACTCACTTGAGGTTAGCCAGTGTATCACTCACTTAAGGTTAGCCAGTGTATCACTCACTTAAGGTTAGCCAATGTGTGAAAACTCACAAGGTTAGCCAATGTGTGAATCTCACAAGGTTAGTCAATGTGTGAATCTCACAAGGTTAGTCAATGTGTGAATCTCACAAGGTTAGTCAATGTGTGAATCTCACAAGGTTAGTCAATGTGTGAATCTCACAAGGTTAGCCAATTTGTGAATCTCACAAGGTTAGTCAATGTGTGAATCTCACAAGGTTAGTCAATGTGTGAATCTCACAAGGTTAGTCAATGTGTGAATCTCACAAGGTTAGTCAATGTGTGAATCTCACAAGGTTAGCCAATGTGTGAATCTCACAAGGTTAGTCAATGTGTGAATCTCACAAGGTTAGTCAATGTGTGAATCTCACAAGGTTAGTCAATGTGTGAATCTCACAAGGTTAGCCAATGTATCACGCAACTTTGGTTATCCAATATATCACTCCACCAAAGTTAGCCAATTTATTACTCACCCAAGGTTAACCAATGTATCACTCACCTAAGAATTAGCCAATGTATTACTCATCTAAAGTTAGCAAATGTATCACTCACCCAAGTTTAACAAATGTACAACCCACCCAAGGTTAACAGATGTACCACTCACCTAAGGTTAACCAATGTATCACTCCCCCAAGGTTAACAATGTATCACTCACCTAAGATTAGCCAATTTATTACTCACCTAAGGTTAGCAAATGTATCACTCACCCAAGTTTAACAAATGTACCACTCACCCAAGGTTAACAAATGTACCACTCACCTTCGGCTAACCAATGTATCACTCACCCAAGGTTAACAAGTGTATCACTCACCTAAGATTAGCCAATGTATCATTCACCTAAGGTCAAACAATGTATCATTCACCAAAGGTTACCCAATGTACCACTCGCCCAAGTTTAGCAAATGTACCACTCGCCCAAGGTTAAAGAATGTATCACTCACCCAAGGTTAGCCAATGTACCACTCACCCAAGGTTGGCAAATGTACCACTCACCCAAGGTTAGCCAATGTACCACTCACCCAAGGTTAGCCAATGTACCACTCACCCAAGGTTAGCCAATGTACCACTCACCAAAGGTTAAAGAATGTACCACTCACCCAAGGTTGGCAAATGTACCACTCACCCAAGGTTAGCCAATGTACCACTCACCTAAAATAAGCAAATGTACCACTCACCTAAAATAAGCAAATGTACCACTCACCCAAGGTTAACCAATGTACCACACCCACGGTTAACCAATGTACCACTCACCCAAGGTTGGCAAATGTACCAATCACCTAAAATAAGCAAATGTACCACTCACCCAAGGTTAACCAATGTACCACTCACCAAGGTTAACCAATGTACCACTCACCCAAGGTTGGCAAATGTACCACTCACCCAAGGTTGGCATATGTACCACTCACCTAAAATAAGCAAATGTACCACTCACCCAAGGTTAGCCAATGTACCACTCACCCAAGATTAACCAATGTACCACTCACCCAAGGTTAGTAAATGTACCACTTACCTAGCTTGTTAAGCTGTAGGTGAGAACTTAAGGCCCATGAACTATTATTCATAATTACGAGTGTTACAATATGAAATCAGTTGATCAATGCCTGGTTTAAAGTCTCACTTAACTCACCATTTTCCCTTTTTTGGTTTTAATTACAAAATCGGACGATTACCAAAGCCACCTTCCACAAAATAAAATTATTGGTTACCGGGTGAGCAAGTAGAAGATTCTTGAACCTTCCCAAGTCGAGCGCAACCGTTTGGACTTTCGAAAGATACATTGTGGAGATAAAAATTTAAATGCCATCCTCTATCGAAAACTCTAAATTTAATTCTGTAGCAAGAGAATTGTGTAGTTGCCACCAAAAGACAGGTGTGTAGCTTCCACTGATGACATGTGTGTAGCTTCCACTAATGACATGAATGGAGCTACAACTAATGACATCCATGTAGCTTCCACTAATGACATGTGTGTAGCTTCCACTAATGACATGAATGTAGCTGCAACTAATGACATCCATGTAGCTTCCACTAATGACATGTGTGTAGCTTCCACTAATGACATGAATGTAGCTGCAACTAATGACACCCATGTAGCTTCCACTAATGACATGTGTGTAGCTTCCACTAATGACATGAATGTAGCTGCAACTAATGACATCCATGTAGCTTCCACTCATGACATCTGCGTAGCTTCCACTAATGACATGAATTTAGCTACAACTAATGACATCCATGTAGCTTCCACTAATGACATGTGTGTAGCTTCCACTAATGACATGAATGTAGCTGCAACTAATGACATCCATGTAGCTTCCACTAATGACATGTGTGTAGCTTCCACTAATGACATGAATGTATCTGCAACTAATGACATCCATGTAGCTTCCACTAATGACATGTGTGTAGCTTCCAATAATGACATGAATGTAGCTGCAACTAATGACATCCATGTTGCTTCCAATAATGACATGTGTGTAGCTTCCACAGATTATATTGTGTATCTTCAACTAATGACATGTGTGTAGCTTCCACTGATGACATGTGTGTAGCTTACACTAATGACATGTGTGGTAGCTTCCACTTGGGCAGTGGTTCTTAACCTTTTTTTGGAGGTACTGAACCCCACTAGTTTCATATGCGCATTCATTGAACCCTTCTTAATAGGAAAAATCAAATATGATTTTTAAATTATTTTTTTTAACCTCCGCCGAACCCCTGAGACTGACTCACCGAACCCCTGGGGTTCGATCGAACCCAGGTTAAGAACCACTGAACTAGGGTGTCGATTAACATCGATCAGATGCTACCAACCCAGTCAGAACATGCCAGTGTTTACCAACCGGCTGGCCAAGGGAATGACCCTTGACCCCCACGACCCCGATAACCTTCACGATGCGTTGGGCGTTGATGACGCTCTGTTGTGTTATTGATCATTGCTGTGCAAGCGCGCTACTCAACTCCGTCTACAACCAAACAAATATTATCGGCTAAATTCACACGATATTTCCTCTTTAAGAAAAACACCACCACAACACCAAGTTTAGCGTCGTTGCGCACACAGACTGTGTCTCCTACCTTGCTTTTCAACGACGCTAACGTTTCTGTGCACAACAGTCTTGTCATGACACATTTCCAATGACAAACGTCAGAAGCCGAAGCTTACACTATAATAATAATACCAGTTCTAGTTTATACCTACCGGTTCACGGCACCCCGGTTCACTACGTTGTATGAATAGAGTCGTGTATATCGTCAAAGTATGTGAATGCAACACACGCAACCTCCTCCCAGTAACACGCGTAATAGGCAAACATAACTTACCTCGTCACTAGCACGTACACGCGTTCGAGCCGTCGAGCCAGATATCAAGAAAGCACAACACAACACACATCAACACGCTGTGTAATTCTTCTAGGAAGAGCTCGCTGAAAATTCAACGGAAAACGGGAATTCTCAGCAGTGGCCCGTGGGCTATTTCGGGATCTGGGACAAGGTTCTCAAACGTGTGTACCGAAGGAACGACCGCAAACTTTGTGATACAATGAATTAACCGCCGTTAGATTCCATGACAAAATTGAAGCGACCCTACTGAGATGCTGTTGGCTGTCCAAGACAGGGGCATTTATTGAGTTTTCAACACATAGGTCTATATATGATTTCCTGATTTGATTTTCAACAAAAGTTGTTTCAGCCAATATTACTATAAACAATTTTTTTTTTTTTTTAAATCTCAGTTAACATTTTGTAAAAAAATTATTTTCTCAGATTTTAGCAATTTTTATAGACACGCCCACGAAATGCGGAAGGTCTTGTGATTTTAATCTTTAAAATAAGGTTTTGTTTTTACAGTAATTAATAATAAACTTTGACTTGACATTCTTGTGAGGCAAGAACAGGGCCCCTTAAAAATGTGCCGATCTAGGCGCCCGCCTAGTTCGCCTAATGGTTTAAACCGGGCCAGGGTAAGAATGCAAACATTTGCGAGTTTTATAGTGCCCCCCTTTCATAGTGGCTAAAAGATCCAGGGGGACTGATCATTATAATGTGCAGTCAATGTTTATTTTATTTTTTTCTTAATTGTTAGGAAAAGTTTATGGAGAAGAATACGCGGATTCGTGAACGAGTTGTCAGATAGGGGAGGTAAATCTCAATATGATGTATGTATCCTAAAATTGTAAGTGCTTCCCCCTGAATTGTTTAAAAATGTCCTACTTTACTTGCTAATCGTGGTGGGTTTTTTTGTTTTTTGCATCGCGCATTTTACAGTAAAACTTTGTTCCTACCTATCTAAATGCTCACCAATTATGGTAAGTTGTTACGTACCGTTATGTGGGTTTGGCCAATGTATTCTATTGTCAGACGTGGGTTTGTTGAACAATACGTAACAAAGGACTGACAACCAGTACCGGGTATACAAAACACACAAGAGAACGATACCAAAGCAGTGAAATTTAACAATATTAATATTCCATTTAATAATAGTATTATTTTTTTTTTAACAAAATCAAATAGAAATAAAAGCTAAATTAGCTTTACAGCAAGAGAAAAAAATCAAATCATCCAAAAGTACAAATATTCATACACACACACACGCGCAGAGAGAGAGAGAGTACAATTTTGTAAGGCTTCTATAAGTGTATTAGTATTACGTCTCGTGAATGTGTGGGGAAATTATCAGAAATCAGTCCCGGATAGAAGCTGCCGGCTTATTTATATGAAGAAAGAGACCTCCAGAAAATAAATTCTAGAAGTTGCAACAACTGATATCATTCTTTAGAGCAATCGGAGCGTAAATAAATTTTTCCCAGTCAACGGAGGGTTTGGCGTTGGTACAGCGCTACACGCTAAATCGGTGACGTCAATATCGAAACAAAAAAATGTGGGGACAAGTGGTGCCCGACTCATCTCTACGTTGAAGTAAAATTAGGTCAAGGCACAGGCTATAAACTAAGTATATTTTAGTGTATTGTTTAAGAGTGTCTCAAACTGGGGCCACAGCCCATAAAGCTGTAAAATAAGTATATTTTAGTGTATTGTTTAAGAGTGTCTCAAACTGGGGCCATCGCCCATAAAGCTGTAAAATAAGTATATTTTAGTGTATTGTTTAAGAGTGTCTCAAACTGGGGCCACCGCCCATAAAGCTGTAAAATAAGTATATTTTAGTGTATTGTTTAAGAGTGTCTCAAACTGGGGCCATCGCCCATAAAGCTGTAAAATAAGTATATTTTAGTGTATTGTTTAAGAGTGTCTCAAACTGGGGCCACAGCCCATAAAGCTGTAAAATAAGTATATTTTAGTGTATTGTTTAAGAGTGTCTCAAACTGGGGCCACCGCCCATAAAGCTGTAAAATAAGTATATTTTAGTGTATTGTTTAAGAGTGTCTCAAACTGGGGCCACAGCCCATAAAGCTGTAAAATAAGTATATTTTAGTGTATTGTTTAAGAGTGTCTCAAACTGGGGCCACCGCCCATAAAGCTGTAAAATAAGTATATTTTAGTGTATTGTTTAAGAGTGTCTCAAACTGGGGCCACAGCCCATAAAGCTGTAAAATAAGTATATTTTAGTGTATTGTTTAAGAGTGTCTCAAACTGGGGCCACCGCCCATAAAGCTGTAAAATAAGTATATTTTAGTGTATTGTTTAAGAGTGTCTCAAACTGGGGCCACCGCCCATAAAGCTGTAAAATAAGTATATTTTAGTGTATTGTTTAAGAGTGTCTCAAACTGGGGCCAC